AGGCTGCATTTTGCCAGGAATGCAGTGCATATGGCACAGTGCTGTTATGTCCACTATTGTTCAGAGACCTTTCCACAGGGAGCTTTCTGCAGGGTTTTAAAATGCAACATGATCCAGGTGAGGAGGGGTGAGTAAACCGGCTGAAAATAAGCATGAAAAACAAAGGGTACTCTGGACACGTCTCTTTAAAAGAGTCTTTGAAGTAAATGTAAAATATAAGGCATGCACACAGCAAATAGTATCTACCAGAATGTATACGGGTTTTTTTGTGTGTGTGGGAGTGTATCTATCACTCCTCTCTAACAGTCTATGCACATCCCCTTTTTTCCTTCTTCACTCCCTAATTCTGTTTTCACATTTACTTTTATTGGGCTTTTGGGGATGAAAGAAGTTTCCTTTGAGCCAAGATAGTAAGGCCATTCAAGAAGCCATACCTGATTCCTCAAGAAGCCTTGTTTTTGAGCCTGCACAGTAACTGAATTCCCCTCAATTTTAGCTGCCCATTGATTTATCTGTATTCTGTGTGAGACCGTAAAGCCAACGAGGGCAGACTCTGTCCTGTACACCTTTAAGGCCATGGAGTCTGGCACAACCTTGAAGTAAGGTGAATATTCATTAAATATTCATTGAATGAATAAAAACATATAAATGAAAATACTAACTGAGCTTTCCTCTGTATGATACAGAAACAGAACACACAAATTTTCTGAAACTCCATCCTACTGTAATTCAGAGAGGTACTGATGACTACATTGAAAACAAAGTCTTTAGATTCAATTAAGCAAACAAACACTTGATGAAAGATACAGAATAAAACTACTCAAATAATTAAAAAGTTTTCCTATACTTGAATAATTTCTTTATATGGATATAAACAAATGGTGAATATCATCATATGAACAAATGTGTCAAGTGAGATATGAACTGATTGTTAGAAGCTAAAATCCTAAGGCCTAGATATTCCATGAAATTTAGTAGAAACACAAGTCACTGGTACACAACACATGTTCTTACTTATAAGTAGCATATATTGGCTTAAAGTAGGAAGACCTCAGTAAGAAATTAAAGAATAAGTGACAAAGCAAAGCCATGATATGAAGGAAAATATTGTCTATTTCTAACACAAGAACAACAGCTCCAGTCAAAGTCTAGAGTTAAATAAATGTGCACAATCACACAAACACTGTAATTTTTTCATGTTTCAATATCTGCTTTTTTACAATTAATCTACCAAGAAGTCCTTAACTGAAGATGAAACCAACTTAAATCTTATCACTTAAAAAAAATCTACTTCAGAGATATATAAAATAAATATAACCTAGGAATGATTCTATAACCATTAGAAGAAATAGGACTTGTCTTATATTATTATGATGAATAACCTTATTAAAATAGGACTCATTTTTATAAAGCTTATTACATTGGTGCTACATGTTAAAAATAATTGTATTATCACTGACTATAATAAAAAATTAATCCCATAATGTTTTATAATACTACATTGTATTCAACTTAGATTATATTAATTTTATGAACTATTGTTATTACTTTTGTATACTTGCACTAAGAACTTTAAAATAAGCCTAATCCACTGAAAAATTCAATATGTAATTATTAAACAGTACCCTGAAGAATATATTCCCACTGTAGAAAAGGATTGCTAATAGAATTTGTGGGAGATACTTCTTTCTATAACCGATGAGTGAAAGTTGCTCAGTCGTGTCCTACTCTTTGAGATTTTGTATAGCCTATGGAACTCTGCAGGTCAGAATACTGGAGTGGGTAGCTGCTCCCTTCTCCAGAGGATCTTCCCAACCCAGGGATCAAACTTCCGCAGTGCAGGTGGATTCTTTAACCAGCTGAGCCACTGTGGAAGCCCAAGAATACTGGAGTGGGCTGCCTATCCCTTTTCTAGCATATCTTCTTGACCCAGGAGTCAAACCGGGGTCTCCTGCACTGCAGGCAGATTCTTTACCAGCTGAGGTACCAAGGAAGCCTGGAAACTATGACCAATGAGTTCTCGTTATTTCAAAAATTTTTCATTGATCAAGACTTTGTAAGTTTCATGTTATACTGTGTTTGAATACTAATTCAAATTAGTATGAAGTAAAGCCACATTTTGGGAGTTAAGTAGGAGTAGGGGTGGGAAGTCAATAAGAGCCTCTAAGTGTGGAGAGCATCTAATTATACAACCAGCCCAGGAAGGCTGCAAAGGAAGGAACCATCAGTTGCTACACATAAACTCCACACTGTAGACAGGACAAGCTTTCTTTAGTCTTCAGTCTAATATCTCTGTATAATATGTATTTGTTTTAATGAAATAAAACATAAGAATGCATTTAAGAACCTGCGGGCTTCTCTAGTGGTCCAGTGGTTAAGAATCTGCCTGCCAATGTAGGGGACATGGGTTCGATCCCTCGTCCAGAAAGACCCTTCATGCTGTGGGGCAAGTAAGCCCATGAGCCGCAACTATGCCCGTGAGCCACAACTACTGAAGCCTGTGTGGCCAAGAGTCCAAGCACCACAACAAAGAGTAGCCCTGCTCCCTGCAACTAGAGAAAGCCCATACACAACAAAGACCAAGAGCAGCCATAAATAAATGAATCCTAAAAAATAAAACGAATCTGTAATATCTATCTATCCATCTATCTAATTCAAAGATCATTATGTCTTAACATTTTCATACACCAATAATAAAAACTATGGACTTGTGTGACAATGATATGACAATGTGGGTGCATCCATTGTCAAAAATATACACTGCATTCAGAGAGACAGCCTGTACTAAGGGTAGAACACACACATGAGAAGAACCCTGAACCCCATGATCAAACAGACAGATCAACAGTCCCCATCAGCAGTATAATATCTCTATATAAGTTCTGCTCTTTCCAAACTAGGAAGAGGACAGAGCTGTTCTTTTTCCTTTTTTCTGCTTTAAAAAAAATAAGATGAATAAAAGATGACAAAACAGGCATGTGCCAGCTTCCCAATCCCTGCAGCCAGGTAAAAGTAAGATAAAAGCCGCCTTTTAGGGGCTTCCCAGGAAATGGCAACCCACTCCAGTATTCTTGCCTGGAGAATTTCACAGAAAGAGGAGTCTGGTGAGCTACAGTCCATAGGGTCGCAAAGAGTAGAACATGGCTGAGCATGCACGCATATCTGCCTTTTAAGTCCTTCTTTCCACTTCTCCTCTCCATTTTTATTATGGAACTCAGATTTTCTTACCCACCCAACTTCTAAAATAAATTATCCATGACTACAGAAAGAATCTGCAATTGGGGTAAAATAAACATGTTTTCCCATCTTATTCTGAACCTGCTGACAACGTAAACTTCCCCAAAGTTCCAAATCAGTCCAGGAATGACCCCCAGTTTTCCAGCCTCTGCCAAGAATTTTATCCATGACCTGCCGCTCTACCACCTTTACCCACCAGAAGACTGAAAATTCATGTCACATCCTATTTTCTGGCATTCTTAAATACAGCTTCAACTCAACTCATCAAAATGTAAGAAAATGCTAATGAAAGCCATCTCCAATCTTGCCTTCTCGCTGCATTTTAAAATGCTTATTCTCTGCAAATCTCATACACTTGCCTTGAAAAAGTGACCTGAAAACACTCTACATGGACTATATGAGTATTCGTGTTACTGAAGAAAATTATTATAATCTGTCAAACTGTTGTGACACATCTAAGTTTAAAAAGTGTACATAAGGTATACATTGTAATTTAGTGCACATTTTCAATTCAATTCCTAATTCTAAATGGGAATTAGACTAACCGGTAATTTCTCATATTATCAATGAAAAAGAAGAGGATTAATAACATTTTAAAATAGTACCTTTTAAAACAGCAAAGTTACATACTTTTAAGTATATACCAGACAAAAACTTAAAACACAGGCGCAATGGAAAAAAAGTATATAATTTTATCAAAATTTTATCAAAAATAAAAACTATCATTTTTTAAGATTTACCACATCACTGAAAAATTAGCAGTGCTTCTAAAACACAGTAGAGCAATCATGTCACCTGTGCCATTTTAATATGCATCTTCTTACACAGAATGTAAAGTAACAGCTTCATTTTAATTTGAAAAGTTATACAAATATTTTATGCTTTTAGGTGAGGTTACTATAAGAGCCAAAGATTTTATACTGACAGTAGCCCTCCTCTAATGTGAATTAAATTATCCATGATCTTTTTCCTGGGCAATAAGAAAACACAACCATAAAAAGTTTTTAGCGAGAAATCAGTTTTTCTTCCCTGACTCCAAATTCCCTGATAACCCTAAATGTGACCCCAAATTTCAAATGATTAATACTGAAAATGTAAATTAGTTATGTACTGGCATGAAAGAAATGAGCAAACAAATTACTACAGGACTCCATTAAAACACAGAATGAAATAAAAGCATGAAAAGTTTTTATTACTAATAAAAGCTAGTTAAAAATCAAGCACAAATAAGAAAATACAAGTGGATTTTAAATTCTTATTTCCTTTTTGACTAAGCCTTTATTCTGACTAAAATTTTACCAGTGCTCTCCCAAAATGCTCTTACATTGGGATTCCTGAAATTTAAAGCTTTCACCTATAGTCTTTAATATGTAAATGTCTAATGGATTTGCCGTAAAACTTTCACACAAAAAGTAATGAAACATCCATGACGTCTATCGGCCTGTCTTTCTTCATTTCTTTAAGCACAAGGCAGGTTAGTTAAAAATAACGCCCCACTCATTCTTAAAACTATGTAGGCTGCAGTTTTATTCTTTCTTCAAACAAAGTGGGCTATTTATCCCTATGTCTGCACAAATAAAGCAGCCTGTGACATCACCTAAACCACTGATAGTTTCAAAGTTGTAAGAGATTTTACTAAATTAGGGCAAAATATAAAAGAACAAGACCAAGCAAAACACGTCAATATTATAAACTTGTTAGTTACAATGCAAACTCACAAATGAACTGAGGTTAGTATTAGGAGACCACACAAATTACAATACCTGAGATTTAGTGCATTCCTTTGAGCCAAAATGAAATGAGTGCCATAGAGGAGGAAAGGAAAAGATGACATTATCAGACATGCTACAGTACATCTGCCAAAATGAAGATCATGTTAAATCAGGTTAAGAATGACCATACAGCATTGGCTACATGTATGATGTCCTTATGTTCCTTAGCCATGCACCTGAAATGCACCTGCAACCATTGAGATCATCGGTGATGTAGGACCATGCACCTCTTCAAAAAAATTTTCACCCTGGTTCCTACCCTAGTTCTTTCCAAAGGAGTATTTCTGCTCAGAATAAGTAAAGGTGACTTAGGGCTAATGAAGAATAATGATCTTCTTCACTTAATTCTTTATACCCTGAGGTACCAAAACCTCAAAATGTTATTGTTGTTCATATGTTAAAATCCTGTACTTAGATAAAATAATAATATATGAATAAAACACAATTTGCATGAAAAGATGGGATTTAATATTTTCAATTATGGCTCTGTTGCTGCCCATCTGAACTCATTTAGGAAAATTAACACATGTCATATATATTAGTAAACTGGTGCCTGATCCATCATTAAGCAAGTTAAATTTTTCACCATACTACTAAATTTTCCCTCATAAAAGTGCCTGTTGACCAGATAAAACATTTTTTTAAACCACTAAAAAAAATAATAATAATTTTGTTAAAAAGTACACATTTTTTTTTAAAAATCAGATTAAGAAAAGAGAAGTCATGTACAGGAAGTGAGTAAAGAATTCCATAAAGGGGGAAAATGTGGGAATAGGAGAAATAATTATAAAATGACCCTCCCATGTTAAGTGAGAGGAATATATAACTATAAAATCATACCAATAAGCCTTAATGCTAAATTTTTAGTAACTCACATTGCCACTAAATATCTTAGCATAGAATATGATTTGGAAAAATAATTCCAAAGCAGAAAGAGTATTAACAGTATGAGCAGTCTGTACTATTAATGTGTATAACTATTTTTAATCCATATTTCCTTACTCCATGATACTACATCAACACTAAAAATACTACCTTCCTTTATAGACAATAGTAACAAAAAAACCTTTCATAGGTTTAAAAAAAAAGAAAATACTAAGTCTCTCCAACAGGCAAACAAAGCTGGCTTTATGATGAGCAAAAGCAACCCTTTCCAAAGGAGCTCAATGAAATGATTCAACTATGAAATTCATGTTAAATTAAAATCGTGCATGGGCAGCAAGAGGAGTAGGCAGATAGCTGGTGGTCAAAACTGCTTAAATATTCAAATACAAAGAGCTCTCAGAAATAGAACACATGAAGTGTGGGTATAAAATACATCACTTCAAGTTATCAGAAAATTAAGTACATAATTTTACATCTATATATATTTTCCCATGTGTTTTACATTTATACTTATTTGCAAAAAGAAAAAGGCTAGGTAAAAAAACAAATGAGCAATTATAAAATAGCTGTGAATTAACTACTTCCATTTTTTCATATTTTCATTTTAAAATTAATTTCAAAAATGAGTACTCATTTAATGGTATTATAAGTATAGATAAGCCATCTCTGACCTAATTATGACGTGTAAGAATTCAAGTTACTTTTTTCCTTGAAAACAGAAATCCTCAAATATATTTGCCACAATTTTCTATGGGCCCCCAGAGGACACGGACACAGTGCACCCGAGCAGAGAGAAAGGAGTCAGAAACATAGCCTCCCACGCTGACTTCGCTGGGGTCTTGTATAAATCGTTCATTATCTTTGCCTCGGTTTCCTCAAACATAAAAAGTAGCTTATTAATCTAACATGTATAAAATAAATGGCACCTCAGTGGTGAAACCACTGAAGAGAACCTCTGAACCTATTAGAAATGCTTCAGATCATCTTTGCCCTGGAATTTAAAGAAGCAACCTTTCAAATTAAGCTCTCATGTCATCATATTAAACAAATTAAACAATTTAACTAAACAAATTAAACATAAAAATTCTCAGATAATATTCACATAATGGTATGAAAAGCTATGAGAATAAGCAAATTTTAGCTATCTAACTTTTGAATTAAAAAAATGCGTATGATACTAGTCATTGGGAATGGGGAGGGAGATGACAAAATTTTACATTAAGATAAGAAAAAGTATCCCAGTTACAATTGTGCGTGCTGATCACAAAGCTGATCCTGAGAGCATTTTAAGAAATTAAAAGGCTAAACGATATCTTTTGACAACTTATTTCAAGGTTCCTTTAATTAGTCATATTATGTGTGTTTCCAGAAAAATATGCACTTTGGACAAGTAATACCACAGAAAGAAATTACTCATCAAAAATAGAAAATTCACATCTCTTCACAAAACTCCCGACGAAAAATTATAAAGATAAATACAATTATTATACTTATATAACTTACCGTATGATAGCCTCTAGGCAAAGGTGGTTTGCCCACAGGATAAGGATCCACAGTGTCAATAATAGTTTGTCTTTCCCCTTTCTGGTTGATTTTTCTAAATCTCCTTCGAGACTGCCGATGAGAAGCTTGACGCTGAAAATATTCTTCATTTTCATCCATATAGTCTACCTGAAATAAAATCCCCCAAAATTTCATTTCCTCAAACACCACATTCCATATTAAGATCAGATGCAGAATAAAACTTACAGGTAGGCCACATTCATTCATTGTGCAAAGACACTTGTAGACAAACTACCTCGACAGACTTCAACTGCTTTTCAGCCTCTCTGTAACTAGTTGCTTTTGAGTAACTTTTCTCTATAAGACAGGCATTTTCAGTTCCACTTAGGACAATATGGGTAACTCCTGAATTTCCTGTAGTTTCAAAGGGAAGGATATTTTCAGTAGTCTTTGTCCTGATTTATTAGTGAAAGATCTCACAGGATACATCACCACGTACTATGAAAGCAACAGCTCCATTGTCTTAACTAAAGCACAAAAACTCTGATGGAGTAAATCTGGTTTTTGCCTTTAAAAAAAAAAAAAAACAAAAAACCCCTAATGACTCAGACACAACTACTAGCAAAATGACTTTGGTAGATTACTTAAGGGTTTTTCTTCCTACTTTCATTCTATGGATTCAGTTTCTTCTTTTTATAAATAGCGTTACTTTCAAAAAACAATTTCCTCATTTTAAACATTTAGAAAGTGATGAATGGACTAACAGAGAAGAAATGTTACATTTGGCTAATCCTCATCATGCTTACATAAGGAAAATGGGACTGCTCACAGAAAGAAGTATATTTAGATTCTCATATGGTTCTCACATTGGCAAACTGAGCAGTTGGTATATGGACAAGTACACAATCCTCAAGGAATTCTGCAGATCAAAAATCCTTCAGATAAACACAAAATAGCAGTAACAGAGACCAGATTCTTTAGGAAATATCTAAAACACTTTTTAAGACCCATGGCTGGAGAGTCTAATGTATCTGCCTACACTCTTCCAATCCTAAAGCTTTTCTCACCACCATGCCACATTTTTACTTAACAGTAAATTTTGTGAAACTTCACCAAAAGTTTCCACTGGCTTTGTGAGGAAGTTCCCATCTCTGAGGAATTCCTCTCCTCCATTATGGGGGAAAAAACCGACCTCTCATCTGAAAACAGATGTATTTACCAAATACTTTATTAAATGTGAATAAAAAACTCCTACCATCGTCTATTTTAGGACATCATTTATTGACAAAGGTTCCCCTCCCAGATGGGTGCTGGATGGGGAACAATGCGCTTCAAATCAACTGAAGTCTCTAGTGAGTGCTCTCTCCAATTTTATTTTTGTGGCTGACTTTTAAAAGGGGTGCATATTGTCCTATCTTTAAATCATGTTTATATATTAAGAATGTGACAAGCTTTTTTAAAAAAAGCATCAATAAAAATAATTATGTTGATAATATCTCTTTTAACATTATCTTTTTTGCATGTATCTATCTCAGCATATTTTTTTTTGAATCACACAGTTAGAAAGAGAGATTAAAAATCTCAACAGAAAGTTTAACCAGCATAAAAGTCCCCCAAATTTCTTTCAATTAGTTAAACGAAATGAAGTGATTTCCTTATGTTAATTGTTGCCTGAATACATATCACTGTGACTCATTTGAAGTATCTCATTCCAATCAATATTTGGAGATCTAAAACCCTACACTTTCTCCCCAAGTTTCAATTAAATGGCATTTTCATAGATTTATAAAGTTCAAGCACCAAATACTTAGGTGCTTACCCTCCTTTAAATTTTCTTTTTCACTTAACTGAATCCCATGAATAATTATAATGATTATGAACTCAAACTCAAAAGTTATGAAATAAATATATCTAAAGTTATAAGATATATAATACACTATTATATGCAATTTGTGAAAATGCTTTTATTTCATAACTTTTTTCAGGGGGAAAAAGTCTTCACAGAAGTTTTCTTACCACAATCATTTCAGAAGGCTCTAACACAATGCATTCACAGCCACGCCTAAAGCTTCCTGCAGAACGCTTGCCAAAACTAGAAAGAAAAAAAGATTTAAGAAATACAAATTGTGAATTTAGGCTAACCCTTCAGATGAATAAAAATAAAAAACAAAACAACTACAAAAAAAATACACATTGAAGACAGAGAAACTATCTCAAACCATTATTTACCCAGAATGACAAGGAACCATTCAAATTTTTAAATCTCAGACATATTTTTCTGGGAAATTCCAAAACAATCTTTTTGAATTCATAATGTAAGTACTGAAGAATCGCTGTGAATGTGTTTTATGTTAGTTGTTTTAGTTCACTCCCAGTTAAGTGAAGACTTAGACTATCCTAACAGCTGCGGGACCACTGAGGAGTTACTAACTATCTAGCCGTGTAATAACCAAGGGAAAAGACTGGATGACAAGGGAATTTTATAAATTTAAGGATCGTGGCCTTTAATTCTTTATACACTGTTTTTAGCTGTTTATCATTTCACAGATGAAACAACGTAGGAAGGCAAGACTTCCTAAATAATTGGAGTTGAGACCACTTATCAACTCTATAAAAGTAAGTTTTTCTAATAAAAAGTATAACAATAGCAAATACAGATAAACAGGAGACATAAGTCATTGCAGCCTACACTAGTATGATTTCTATCAAAAGTAGTTAGAACACATTTCAATTTTATATACTAGAGTTACTAAGAACTTATAAAAGAACCTTACAGAGTGAATCTCAGATAAAAAGCTGGCATACGGAAATAAGCAAAAGGGGCAAGGGGGAACAAACCTGGTTTAATTCCAAAAATGGGATCCTAAGGAAAACTACAAGTATGGATATATTTACACAGTCTATGAAACAAGTAGTAGTAACACAATTAAATAGAGAAGGAATTGGCAACCCACTCCAGTATTCTGGCTTGGAAAATCTCATGTACTCTACTAGGAGTCTAGTGGGCTACAGTCCATGGGGTCATGAAAGAGTTGGACACAACTTAGCAAGTAAACAACAGGGGTAGGAACTGGATCAATGGCAAACCATACCAACATACAAAGTATAAAATGCATATAATTCTCTTCTATAACTTAACTTGCTTAGGTTAAACATTTCTTTCACTTAAAAATGTATTTTTCTAAAGTTACATGTCTACTTATTCTAAATCAGCTTAAGGAACAGGTTATTCAACTCAGGACTTTCAATTACAAAGTGACTTGAGTGGACATGCACTCTTAAAAGCCCCTTTTCTCCTGAAAACCGTACTGGTGACCTCAGACAGGGTACCTTGCCTTATCTATGGAAATATCCACCTAACACTAGAGCAGATTCATTCTCTCTGACACAGATATATGCCAACTAGAGCCACGAGGAGTTCTAAGTAGTCATGACTTATTCTGCTAACACACCACCTACCCCTGCCCATTCACCACTCCAAAAATTCTCTCTTCCTTCCAGTCAACATTTTAGTAACTTTAATTTTGGGGGGCGTGGCGGAAGAATGTGCAGCAAGGCATGTGGGATCTTAGCTCCCAATGATGAGGGATCAAACCTGTGCCCCCTGCAGTGGAAGCACAGAATTTTAACCACTGAACTGCCAGGGAAGTCACTGTAACCATGTTTAATAATCTACCTTTGAGAAAAATATGAGAAAATAACTCTACCAAAAAATTATTTTATCGAGCATTTCCCCCCCAAGTAAATTAGGTATTTTCCTATGAAAATTTCCATAGGAAATTCATAACTTTCTTGGTGTCATGGTAGTACAGAATGTTTCACATATTAGAACACAACTTGGGTTGGGGAAAAAAGTTATGTTTGGGCTTCCCAGGTAGCGCTAGTGGTAAAGAGCCGGCCTGCCAATGCAGGAGACGTAAGAGACACGGGTTCGATCCCTGTGTAGGGAGGACCCCCTGGAGGAGGGCATGGCTGCCCGCTCCAGTATTCCTGCCTGGAGAATCCCATGGACAGAGGAGCCTGGCGGGCTACAGTCCACAGGGCTGCAGAGAGTCGGAGACAACTAAAGTGACTGGGCTTGCTTGCTCACTCGAAGAAAACAGGTAAGTCAACATTCTCACTCTATCAGCCTGTGACCTCCAGCAACCAGCTTGACTATCCTCACAGTCTAAACTATACTCATTTCTAAGGGTATCAGTGAGACTAGGCCATCATTTAAGTCATTTCCTGCTCCAAAATTCGTTTCTATGGAAATCAAAGAGTCATACTTACCATATCTGAAAAATCCTTTTAAAATATTCACACATACACATACTCATAAGCATACACATATTAAAGTGCTTTTTTTAAAGCTGAAAAAAATAGGGAAACTATAACCATCTTATCTTCTTTGTCATGTTATTTCACGTGTAATTAAAATGACCTAAAATTGTAAATATTCTTCTCTTAGTTTAACAATTAAATACCACTAAAATTACAGAAAATCCTCCACACACATAAAAATTTGCTTCTAGCTTCTGAAACTACTTACTTGCAATTTAATTTTTTACAATGATGCTTATAATTTAATGATACACTACAAACTAAGAAATAATGTGTTAGTAAATACGTCAGTGTGTTAGTAAAATATGTAGTAGGTTTCAAGCCATCATTGTTATAGGACTGAGTAAAAACATATGTTGCATGCTTAAAGGTTATTACTAAATAAAACAACATTAAAATCCAAAGAAAACCATATGACTCTAAGTTTTTTCCTATTTTATTAAATTATAGAACCAGTTAAGCTTCACAAATGTAATGATAGATTTGCTTTCTTTTTAAAATTTTTCATGTAGTAAAAAAAAAAAATCAAACGTATGTAATGCATACAATGTTCATATGACTAAATAAAAAATAAAAACTGTTAGAACTGGGCTTCCCTAGAGGCTTAGATTCTTTAATCTGCCTGCCAAAGCAGGAGACATGGATCTGATCCCTGATCAGGGAAGATCCCACGTGCCGTGGAGTATCTCAGTAAGCCTGTGCGCCACCACTATGGAGCCTGTGCTTGAGAGCTTGGGAGCCACAACTCCTGAGCCCGTGTGCTGCAGCTACTGAAACCTGCATGCCCTGGAGCCCACGCTCTGCAACAAGAGAAGCCACTGCAATGAGAAGCCCGCACACTGCACCTACAGGGTGCCCCCACTCTCCGTAACTAGAGAAAGTCTGTGCAGCAACAAAGACCCAGGGCAGCCAAAAATATAAATTAATTATTTTTTTTTAAAACTGCTAGAACTGAGTTGCTTATAAATTTTAGCAACAAAAGTAGTAACATCCATATGAATAAACTACATGGTATTTACTTTATGCCTAATTCTTACACCACCAACTCCCTGCTTCAGAATTAAGACTGTTAATCCTCTTAGCAATTAGCTGCTAGTTCAACAGAACTTCATGGCGGAGGTGACATTCACATATTTAGTTGCACTAACACTATTACTTTAGGGATGAAACATCCACATCCCCTAAAATGTGCTACAAAAAAAAACATTTCTACACCTTTTACAAAGTGAGCTGTGCTAAAATCTAACAAAACTCTTTTGGAGCCACAAAAAGACTCAAATTCTATTGACCGTCACAAAGATGTAAACCATAGGAGAAATAATAGACTCCTGTCAGATTAATTCTTTGACTAAATTGAAGGAGAAAAGGCAAATGCACAGAGAACACGCTCTACCAAGGGAGAATAAATTACATCACTTATCCAAAAATCCATTGTTTCCAAAAGGAAAGAGCGGCCTCAAAAAGGACAAAGCACAGAGAGCTCCCTGGTGGTCCAGTGGCTAAGACCCTGGGCCTTTATTACTGAGGGTGCAGGTTAGGTCCCTGGTTGGAGAGCTACAATCCCACAAGCTGAGTAATGTGGGAAAAAGAAAAAGAGGGGGAGAGAGAGACAGGTATAGTTCCTGAATGCACTCACTGGGCTAATGCAAGGCCTTCTGGCTCCACTGCAGGGAGGAGTTACTCTTAGCTTACAATCCAGAAGCTATAAGGTAGGAATGAAATATGTCAGCTCCAAATCCATTAAGCCCACAAAATACTTCTGCTCTACTATCTGATTCTTTGAATCAAAAAATACATGAACAAAAGTAAGTAAACACCATTATTTACTAAGTTTTGATCAAGTTCAATATAAATAAACTTTTAAAAATACGATACTGGAAAACTTAAGTATAGAGATAAAAAATAAAACCAGGGGAATTCCCTGGTGGTCCAGTGGTTGGGATTCTTGTGTTTTCTGGGCCCTGGATTGATCCCTGTCGAGGAACTAAAATCCTGCAAGCTGCATGGCACAGCCAAAAAAAAGAAAGAAAACCAGATAGAGACATATAGGAGACAAAAACACCCACAGATAATACTAAGATCAATTCTTTTAAAAATTTAGATGATTTAGTAGAAAGAAATGGACAGAAATCTTCAGGCTTGCAAATGACACAGACATTTAGATAGTACAGCACAAAACAAAGCTAGTAAGAATAAAGCACAAGACATTTTTATAAAGTTTTATGTTCATGTGAAACAGCAGTAAGGACCCAATCTGCACAAGGAAATACTGTATGTGAGAAGTGGTCAAATATACACAGTATGTAAGATAAGACCAAACAACAAAGGGTTCTCGTGTTTCAGTCAGAAGTCAAATGAAAACTAGAAGTCTTTCAAGGCATTAGCACAGCTAACTGCATACATAATAAATAACAAATAATAAACAAAGATACACCTCAAAAGGAAAGACACACTAGGAAAAATAAAAACTGAAAATTACCATACATACTATCATAGAAAACCACATAAATCTACAATAGAGCACTGGGCTAGAAAAGTTTCTAAGGGGAAAACCACAGAGCTGAAAAGTTTCCAACGAAAAATTTAAGGATAACCAAAGGGATTCCTGTAAAACCAGAGGCATAAGTTCAAAGAATATTTCATTCAGTCTTATTAACAGCAGTTAAAAGTTGGTGTTATTTAGATTGCTAAAATCATGACTTAAGGAAATTTAGAAATGATACAGATTAAATAAGAACTTGGTTGATTTTAAAAGTACAGCTACAATCC